AGCTTTCTCTTTATCTCCTTTATACTTTAATAAAATTTTATTACACAAAAGCTATGAGCTATCAAGCCTCGTCTCTGGCCCCAGATAGAATTCTTCTCCTTTGGAAGCCAAGAATCCCGGCGTCTTTGCATGGCTCAGCAACAACATTTCAGAAGGACTGATGTTGAAGCTGAAACTCCAATACTTTGGCCACTTCATATGAAGAGTTGACTCAGTGGAAAAGACCCTAAAGGGTCTTTTGGGAAGGATTGGGTGCAGGAGGAGAAGGGGATGACTGAGGATGAGATGGCTGGATGGCATCACCAACTCAATGGACATGAGTTTGGGTAGACTCTAGGAGTTGATGGACAGGGAGACCTGGCATGCTGTGATACATGGGGTCGCAAAGAGTCAGACACGACTGAGCGACTGAACTGAACTGAACTGAAGTGGTCCACATACTACATAGAAAAACATGTTAACTCTATCAATTTTTGTGAGCAGTGACTTTCATTTTTTCTCCATTTCAAAAGGCTCTAAATCTCTACATTTATTTTCTTCCTTAGAAACTTAGAGTATTTCTGTGTTACTCTTTGGCTTACATTTATGCTTTTTCTCTTATGTTATGGATCATGTAAAATTTCTGAGCAATCTGAATATTTAAAAATCTCCAATTAACTTTCAAATTTTCACTCTCAATCCAGATACCTTTTCTGAACATGTGTTCAACTGATACAAAGACATATATAGCCAGCTGCTTCACAGGAAATTCAGATATATGCCCTAAGCATAAGAGTTCATTTAACCCTTTCCAACCCATACAACTTTTTCATGTATTTTATTAAAAAATATTTTTGATGGACTATGTTCTCAGTCATGTCTGACATTTTGTGACCCCATGGACTGTAGCCTGTCAGGCTCTTCTATCCATGGAGTTTTCCAGGCAACAACACTGGAGTGAGTTTCCATTTCCTTCTCCAGGGGATCTTCCTAACGGAGGGACCAAACTCACCTCTCTTGTGACTCCTGTATTACAGGTGGATTCTTTACCACTGTGCCACTGGAAAGCCCTAGTATTGATGAGACTATCGTAAATGTAATGCCAATTTATTTTTCTGTTGGTAATGTAGCTGTGAAAAGCAAAGTCAGGAGCCAGACTGTCAAGTTCAATAAATGGCTCCATTCTAATCAGTGGTTTGTCTTTGGCTGTGATCTGTCTGTGCTTACTTCCCTCTTTGTGTAATGAGGATATCAGTATCTGCTGTCTATATGGTCCTAATGGGAAATGACTGGAAAAAATGCCTCACTATATAAAAGAAGCCACTTGCAATGTAGGACACCCAGGTTCCATCCCTGGGTTAGGAAGATTCCCTGGAGAGGGAAACAGGAACCTACTTCAGTATTCTTTCCTGGAAAATTCCACAGCCTGGCAAGCTCCAGTCCACGGGGTCACAAAGAGTTGGACATGACTGAACGAGTAACACTTTCACTTTTTTCACTTCATATATATAAACCTATATACATATATATGTATACATATAGATATATCTATACATAGATAAGATAGGATTAATTTCCAAGGATTAATATATATGTATACATATAGATATATCTATACATAGATAAGATAGGATTAATATACAAGCAGCTCATACAACTCAATACCAGAAAAAGAAACAACCCCATCAAAAAGTGGGAAAAAGACCTAAGCAGACATTTCTCCAAAGAAGATCTATAGATGCCTAACAGACACATGAAAAGATGCTCAACTTCACTCATTATTAGAGAAATACAAATCAAAACTACAACGAGATATCACCTCACACCAGTCAGAATGGCCATCATCAAAAAGTCTACAAACAATAAATGCTGGAGAGGTTGTGTAGAAAAGGGAAGGCTCTTGCACTGTGGGAATGTAAATTGATACAGCCACTATGAAAGACAGTATGGAGATTCCTGAAAAAACTAGGAATAAAACCACCATATGACCCAACAATCCCACTCCTAGGCATATACCCCAAAGAAACCAAAATTGAAAAAGACCCTTGTATCCCATTGTTCATTGCAGCACTATTTACAATAGCTAGAACATGGAAGCAATCTATATGTATATCGACAGATGAATGGATAAAGAAGTTCTGGTACACAGTGGAATATTCAGTTCAGTTCAGTTCAGTCACTCAGTTGTGTCCGACTCTTTGCGACCCCTTGAATCACAGCATGCCAGGCCTCCCTGTCCATTACTCAGCTATAAAAAGGAAAACATCTGAGTCAGTTCTAATGGGGTGAATGAATGTAGAACCTATTAAACAAAAAGAAGTTAGAAAGTGAAAGATACATATCATATTCTAATGCATATATATGGAATCTAGAAAAATGGTACTGAAGGATTTATTTACAGGCAGCAATGGAGAAACAGACATAGAGAAGAGACTCATGGACATGGGGGAGTGGAGGAGAAGAAATTATCCTTCAATAAAAAATAATTTAAAAAAATTTTCCTCTGCTTCCTCATATATAAAACCTACCCTGTCTGACATTTAATATTTACCATGCCAAAAAGCCATTTGAAACACTCAATCAGCCAGCATTAGATGAAAAGGGATAACACTTTTCTAAGTCTGAAATCTTGACCATTAATTTCTTTGGCTTTCAATCACTCAACAATGATATCCACTATGAAGTTTTTGTCAGCTGTCGTCTCATAAATCCACAAATTTAGCTGCTCTCCCCTTTTCTTCAAGCTTCATGATGTACTACAGATATTATTCTAGCACTTTCTGGAGGATCCTCATATATGGATGCAGGTATTTTCTTTTTTTTCCTGGATGTACTCTATTGTGGATTCATTGACTTTGAACTCACAACAGCAGTATGAATCACACTTGAAGAAAGGTTGTGTAACACACACATGTTCTCTGTAAGATACATCCTAGCCTTCTTGCTGTTATACTAGACAGTACTATGTTTGGAGGCATTTCAAGCAGAAAATTATCATCAACAGTAGAAAAATGTTTAAATGATGGCACAAAATAGATCATGAAGAAGATTATTTACAGTATGAGAACTGAACCAAGAAAGGAAAGTATTGCATCAGGGACATGTATTTACATCAAGAGACTCACTTTTCTCCCTCTCTGAGCATGTCCACAAATAATCACAAAAGCTCTGAATACTAATTTTGAGTAAAAATTGGACCCCCCTTTCTTTTTACTATATCATGTTCTACTTCATCCATGATAGTTTTCACTGTTATGAAATCAATTTTGTCTGAAAACGATGTATTTAATTCAGATTTCTTTTTATCAGTGTTCATCCAATGTTTTTCTTTAACTTTTAACCTGTGTTTTTTTTTTTTTTTCCTGCTTTTCTTTTTTTCTTTTTTTTTCCCATTTATTTTTGTTAGTTGGAGGCTAATTACTTTACAATATTGTACTGGTTTTTGCCATACATTGACATGAATCAGCCATGGATTTACATGTGTTTCCCCATCCCGATCCCCCCTCCCACCTCCCTCTCTGTCCCATCATCTGGGTCTTCCCAGTGCACCAGCCCTGAGCACTTGTCTCATGCATCCAACCTGGGCTGGTGATCTGTTTCACCCTTGATANGACAAGTGCTCAGGCCTGGTGCACTGGGAGGACCCAGAGGGATGGGGTGGAGAGGGAGGTGGGGGGGGGGACCGGGATGGGGAATACATGTAAATCCATGGCTAATTCAATGTATGACAAAAACCACTGCAATGCTGTAAAGTAATTAGCCTCCAACTAATAAAAATAAATGGAAAAAAAAATAAAAAAAATTATTAAAAAATAGAATGTACTTTATTCAACATTTTTCAAAGCAGTTAAATTAGAGATCACGCTCAGTATTATTAACTTAGTAGGACGCTCAACATGTTTATTGCTATTAAAGTCATAATAAAAAAAAATAAAAATAAATAAAAATAAAAATAAAGTATCTTTTAGCTTCATTATTCCATTTCTGATGCTTTTTTAATGTGGATCTAAATTTCTGACAATATCATTTTTCATTACTCTGAGAAACTTTTTAAAGTAATTCTTGCAGTGTCAGTTTATTACCTATTGATTCTCTGTTTCTGCACACCTAAGAAAGTATTTCTCTTTCACTTTTGAAGGATAATGTCACTACATGTAGAATTTAGACTTTCTTTTTCCTTAGAATATTCAAATATTTCATTCCACTCTATTCTTGCCAAAGTGTTAAATATCTACCATATGATCTAGCTATTTCATGCCCAGCTATTACTCAACATCAAATATAGGTTTTGGACTTTACAATCTAAAATGCATGACTTATATTTTATAGAAAGACATAAAAAGTAAAAGTATTGAGAATGTCAGAAAAGTTAGCTTTTAACAGGATAAAGAGATACATAAACATAGAGAAGAAAAATAAAGTACAACTAAAATCAGTAAATAATTTATTAGAAGCTAAGCCATGTGGAATGCACCACACAACAATGCTGATTCCACTTATTTTGTTACATTTATTTTGGCTAACTTTATTTGATGCGAAGTTAGGTTACTTTAACAAGTCTATCTCCTTTGGGATCTATGATACTTTGGTGATAGTAAAATGATCAGCTGTTCTACCCAAGAGAAAAATTACACATGCATTTCACATTTTCCCAGTGGTGCTGCCAGCCATGGCAGCATATGCTCCTGTGATCATATATTATCTAACTTTTGAAATAAACAGAGATCCCAGAAGTGTATCCCCAACTGAGTTCCATGAGCCTATTAACATTATTGCTTCTGTATAAAACCCTCTAGTCTTCTGACATTCTTAGTCACTAGCACTGGAATAGCTATGTTTAGACAACTGGTTCTTGACCTAAATAAAAACAAATCAGATCTCTATTTTGCTGAGTTCATGATACTTGAGGAAACTGTATTATATTTTCTTCTCAAAAGCAGACAAACATTACTAGAAATTAAAGGGTCATAAAGTGATCTAATTTTTAATACCTCCCTAGAAATATTTTTAATCCTCTATTAATGTCTGCTATCTCTATCTTGAATTTCAATAGTTCCAGATTTACTCTCACTGGTTTTCCTGGCTTAGAAGTTGACTACCTCTGGCTCTCCATCCCTTTCGCCTCCATTTATGCCATGGTTTTCCTGGGGAACTGCATGGTGCTCCACGTGATCAGGACTGAGCCGAGCCTGCACCAGCCCATGTTCTACTTCCTGGCCATGCTGGCCCTCACTGACCTGTGTGTGGGGCTCTCCACCGTGCACACAGTGCTGGGAATCCTATGGGGGGTCATTCAAGAGATCAGCCTGGATTCCTGCATTGCCCAGTCCTATTTCATCCACGGTCTGTCCTTCATGGAGTCCTCTGTCCTCCTCACTATGGCTTTTGACCGCTACATTGCCATTTGCAATCCACTACGCTATTCTTCCATCCTAACTAATGACAAAATCATGAAGATTGGGGTGGCAATCTTATGTAGGAGTTCTATGCTCATACCTCCAGTCATTATTCGCCTAAAGTTCTTAAATTATTGTCACCCCCACATCCTTTCTCACTCTTTCTGCCTGCACCAAGACTTAATTCGAATGGCCTGTTCAAACATCCGCTTCAATAGCATCTATGGTCTGGCCCTGGTGGTCAGCAACCTGTTGTTGGATGCAGTGCTCATCATTATCTCCTATATCATGATCTTGCATGCAGTCTTAGCAATTGCATCACGAGAAGAGAGAATCAAGTCTTTGCAGACCTGTGTATCTCACATCTGTGCGGTTTTAGTTTTTTACATCCCAATTATTGGTCTGACCATGGTTCATCGTTTTGGCAGACATCTCTCACCCTGGGTTCATGTTCTCATGGGCAATGTCTATATTCTTTTCCCACCCTTGATGAACCCCATTATTTATAGTATCAAGACCCAGCAAATACGAAGAAGAGTCCAGAGACTGTTTTACTTGACAAAATGTAAGTCCTAATATCAAATGTGAATGTATTTAAAATTCAGCAAAGGAGTTCAAAAGGGTAAGAATCAGTGAATAATTAAAATATTTTAATGACTTTCATTTGAATGAGGCTTTCCATTTTACAAATACCTTCCTCTGCTTTTTCCTTGAAACTATCATATCAGTGAAATTAACATGTTATGCTGTAAATGATTTTTGTATATCTGAAAATACATATATAATAGCTTCAGAATCTTAATAAGGTCTGAGGCAGATTAGCTATTAAAATTCATCTCACTATGGCCAGTTTGGGATTCATTCATTATGCAAAGATACATTTTGCTGATTAAAATCCCCCAAGTAATTACTTAAGGACCAAAAATTTTCTTATTCTCCCTATTCTAAACAACATTTTTATTTTCTACCCAATTTTCCCAGTTTAGCCACATGCCCATGTCACTGAATAAGCATAATAGAGAATTTGACCTTTTTGAATAAATTCAAAAACCAATGAAACAAGCAAACAACAAAAAATTAATCTTGATGCTTTTTGCCCACCAGCAAATCTTCCTGACTCCCACCCTACTGAACTGTAGACACAGACAATCAGTAATTGCCAGAGTAGGAAAAAAATAGACTTTTGTGATTAGTTTTATTTGCTTAATCCAAGGAACAATACAAATAGCTATGCCACTTGAAAACCATTTGAAAATGTTTCCTATGAACCTATAGATCATTTAAATCCAATGGGGATAGAGTGTTACTGTGATCAAAGAAAAATGTTTCTAATTTATCTTCTCATCAAGACTCTGTGGTAGATGCTATTTTCTAATACATATATGATTTGTAGCTTAAAATACACAAAGATTAAATAATTCATCAAATTTTTAGGTGGTAGTAAGTGATGTGACTTGAAATATTCTGTTTTATTTTTAAATCACATGAAAAGCCTTTCTCTCCTATCTCCCTTCTGTGCTTTTTAACATGAAGTTTGTTAAATGGTTCCGCAACCATCATAAGATTTTATAAAATAAATAAAGTGAGCAAAAACACAAATAAATCATGGATAGCAAAATAATGCACACATTTGGACTCGGTATGTGTAAATTTCCTTAAGATATTATTGTTGCAAGGATATTTATATAATCTATTTGATATGTTAAAGGCATGTTTTGTTAATGCACACTTTCAAACAGTAGTTCACTCTGTTTAGATATACAGGCACTGTCTGATAAATTCTCAAAAATATTTACAGTCATAAAATCACCACCACAATCAATCAAGATATGGAATATTTCCATCACCCCACAAGAGCCTTTTATCTCTTTGCAGTCACTGTTCTCCCACAGCCCCAAATTATCCACTGCCTCCAAACTAATTTCTATCATAGGTTTTGCCTTTAAGAGAGCCCCTATTTGTGTGCTCAACTGTGTCTAGCTCTTTTGCAACCCCATGGACTATAGCCCACCAGGCTCCTCTGTCCATGGGATTATCCTGGCAAGAGTACTGGAGTGGGTTCATTTCCTACTCCAGGAGATCTTCCTGACTAGGGATTGAACCCTCATCTTCTGTGTCTCCTGCATTGGCAGGCAGATTCTTTACCACTGAGCTACCTGGGAAGGGAAGCACCTTTTAGGGAAGATCCCGTAAATTGAATCATAAGTAATGTAATCTTTTTGTCCAGATCCTTTCACTTGCAATAATACTTTTGAGATTCACCATGTTGTTGTTGACTGCATCCACAGCTCATTTTTATATTTGAGTTTCTTTCCATTTTACTACATAGGGAAAGCTATTCATTAATTGATTGGGTTAGCATTTTATATTTTTCATTTTCAATGAAGCAGTTGTAAACAGCTACACCATACAATTTTTTTTTTTTTTGCAAAACAAAACACCAGACACATTTATTATTTCTTAGAGGTCATAAAGCAATTAATATACATTAATAATACAAAATTCCCTGTATGTGTATTAGGGACATTTTCTTTAAAGAGGGTTATATTTTCCTAAGGGAGGGGTAGGATTCTTACAGGAGCATCTGACCCCCCAGTTAAGAGTCACTCATCTAACACAGCCTCCTTATTTTAGAGATGAAGAGACTAAAGTCAGAGAAATAAGTACTGCTTTATCAGCTTTCAAAGAACCAGAACATTGTTNTTTTAATTTTCATTTCCCTGATTTCCTAGATGACTGGTGACATTGGACAGTTTTTCAAGGGTTTACTGGATACTTGTATCTCTTTTTTATTACTGATTTAGAGTGCTACAGTATTTCATACACATCCTTTGTCAGATACATAAAGAGAAAGCAAATAATTTCTCCCAGCCTGAGACCTATTAAAGTTCATTGATCTTGTTTTCTGCAGTATCCCATCTATTGTTGTGATCTTGTTAGGATCACATGGAATACTTGTTTTGCTCTGCGTGGTCTCTCCATTCTGGCTGGTTGGAACTCTGGGGTCTCCAGTACTGGGCTCATTCAGTGATATCCACTTACTTCATAGCCTTTCAATAGCTATCTTCAGCCAGGGTATCAGCTTTTTGCCTTGCACAAATGCCGCTTAGTATCTGGGCAAGGACTCAAGGAAATCCCTTTGCAGATTTCCGGAGACTCTTCTCTGTGAAGCTCCCTCGTCTCCAGGACCCTGCCCCAGCCCGGGGAGCTGAATTGCTGGTTTGCTTCTTTCACCCAGACGGCTGCTCCTGGACTCCAAACAGGGAGAAAACTGCAGTGCATTTGAAGCTTATCTTTTGGTTTCTCTCTCCTCAAGGATCATAATCCTCTATGTGTCCAATGCCAAAAAAATGTCGTTCATGCACTTTACCCACTTTTATTGCTCTTTGTGGTAGAAGGGTGATTCTGACATCCGTTATTTTGACTGCAACACCGAAAGTCTGAGTCTTCATCGTCTGTACTGTTCCTGTTCCTTCAGATGGCCCGTGTGGTTCCTTTTGTCCTGGTCTCTGTCCCGCTCACAGGTTTCATCACAGAACTTGTGTTACCTCCATGGTCACACCCCTCACATGTAAAATCACATTCAGACGCTCCTGCTTCCCCATCTCTGGGACTTCCTTCACGCCGTGTCCACACTCCGGGACTTCCTTCACACCGTGTCCACACTCCGGGACTTCCTTCACCCTGTGTCCATCCTCCGGGACTGCCTTCACGCCGTGTCCGTCCTCCGCGACTGCCTCTTCACGCCGTGTCCGTCCTCCACGACTGCCTCTTCACGCCGTGTCCATCCTCGGGGACTTCCTTCACGGGGTGCCCAGCCTCCGGGACTTCATTCACCCCGTGCCCGTCCTCCGGGACTCCCTTCACGCCGTGCCCGCCCTCTGGGACTTCCTTCACGCTGTGTCCATCCTCCATGCCACTTGCACCACTCTTTCATCTCTTGGCTCCTATTAGTCCTGAATCAGCTTAAACAGCACTTCCTCTGGCACCTCTGACAGGTGCTCCCAGAGCAGGCTGCACCTTCCCCAGTCAGAGACATAAAACTTGATGGCCGCTTCTCCTTTTGTATGAACTGTACTTTTCTGCTTGATTCCAAGTTCTGTCAGGGCGAGGGTGGGAATTTTCCATTGATGTTACCACCAAGGCAGGAGAAAAGCCATTGTGAGATAGAAAAAGAGCTCAATCACCTTATACTTTTCATGGTAGAGAAATACATAAATGGTTCCTCCAGCTGCCATGAGCCAGATAAACCAACGCATATGAGATGCCAGGGGTCCAAGTTCACGGAGATTTAACCATGGCGCGAGGACACAGCAATGAAGAAATAGATGACCATCCTGTCGCACATGTGAAAGCAATGCTCCACCGTCCTTAAGTGGCTCTTTTCCCATGCTACGATGTGGAATACTGTGGAAACAATGAAGAGGGCGCAGAGGCCATTCCATAAATCCAAGCTGTTATCTTTTCCCAGCAGTCATCAGAGAGCCGGTGAAGGAGGGCGCTGCCCACAATGGCCGGAACAATGAGGAACACACTCAAATCATTTGTCCAATCATAGGTCCTCATTTCTAGTCGGGATGTCTACATTCCACCAGTTTGGGGGCTACGCATGTGTGTAACAATTAGCAGCATGTTCATAACAAGTTGGCTTGTAGCGGCCATTGGTGGGGGCCCGGTGGTTCATGAACCGCTGGAATCGGCTCTGGAATCGCATCGATGCTCCTGCTCCTCCGCGGGGGCCGCGAGCTCCGTCTCGTCAGCGCCGGCGGCCGGGCGCGCGGCCCGCAGGAGCTGTGGCGGCTCCAGGGGCCGCCGCGGGCCCGGCGGACCGCTGGACCGGGCAGCGCAGACGGGGCCGGGCCGGGGGTCAGGACCGGGCCAGAGCCAGACCGGGCCCCATACAATTTTAAAAGCAAGTCCCTAATATTGTTAGAGTTTATTTTTAATCACCGCAATACAATAATAATGATCATAAAATAACAATTAGTTTATATTTATCAGAGTCCTACTATATGCCAGGCACTGTGGAAGGACACAGTAATGACTCTCACTGTTGATCTTTAGACCCAGTCCATGTGTAAATCATAGTCAGTCAGTTTTGCAGATGAGGAAATTGAAGTAAAAGGATTTTTAAAAAGTAGAAAATAATTGTGGGTCACTTTAGTTTCACAGAACTTTTACCACTGCATCACTGTTCAATTTTACATTGCAGTTATCTCCCCATCATTATATTTGTTTCTATTATTGGTGGTGTTCATGTGTGAATTAAAAATTTTGAATTGTGTATTGTTGTATATATAAGTTTTTAAAATGCATTAGCACTTGAAACATTTAGTAGGCCATTCTTTCATCAGCCAGTGTTATGATATATAAAATTCTAATGTAACAGGTTTTATACTTTTTACTCAAATAATAAGATGTGGTGAGTATAGTTTTTGTTGTTTTTTTTTTTTTTTAGTCTTATCTGCTCTCAGAGAGCCAATGGTTCTTCCACTTAAAACATCAATTAAAGTTTTTGAGCTTAAAAATTATATTTGTTGTGGTATATATTTTCTGTCAATTGGAAACTGATATTCTCTGCCAGGATATTTCCTTCTTCCACAGGTCTCTGCCACTAACTGTCACCTCCCTACAAACCCCTCATCACTGCATTGAAGGGGAAGCTGACATGGCCGTGGATTCAGAAACTGGATGGGCCTCTCTTCTAGGTCTGTAACACTCGGCAGGCCCTTGCTGGATGAATCTTACCGCACCTCCTCACTCTGTATGGAATGCTGATTTTTCTCACCCTCTGCTGCAGTTTGACTGATTTTCTCTTCAATCTAGTTAGCAATCCAACTGTAAATGGCGCTCAGTCTACAAGCTCTGAAAACGGACCCATTTTCTCTTATTTCCCTGACTGTAATTTTTTTTTTTATTTTTTAGCCTATGGCTGCAGAATCATTTTTTCCTAGGCATAACAGTTCCCTTGACAACTCTACTAGTCAGCATTCACCATGATTTTTGTGTCCCCCCACAATGCTGTAAAGAGATCGGGATGGGGAATACATGTAAATCCATGGCTGATTCATGTCAATGTATGACAAAAACCACTACAATATTGTAAAAAATAATAATAATAAATAAATAAAAAGAAAGATGAACATAAAATAAGCACTAAAGCAAAAAACAACAACAACAACAACAAAAGAACACCTAGATCCATTGTGGAAAAGCAAGAAACTGGTTTCCTCACTGAACATACCATGTGCTAGTTTTTACCCTAATGCTGCTCTCTGATGATGGCATGAGATAGTTTGCATGGAAATCTCCCTCAGGAGACAAACAAGTAGTAGGTTATTAATCTCCTTCTGCTTTTAACGTTTCCCTCAAAACACATTGGATTTCTAGCTTCTCATGCCCTGACACTCTAAATGAGGGCCAAAGAATTCAGCTGAACCTGAGACCTTGAAGATTATATCGTTTCAATTCTCCTTGCCTATCTGTATTTCTCTTCTCCACCTTGTGCAGAAAAGGGTTCCATTACTCCTCTTTTGTTTTAATATCTAAAAGAAACTTTCTCTACATCCCAAACTCTTTGCTTTCTATCTTTGTTCTAGCCGGTACCCTCTAACAGAAGTAGTTGATAACAGTAGGATGCTAGTGAAAGAAAAGAAAAATCAATAATATCCAAAAGGCAAAATATTTTATATATATATATATATATATATATATATATGTACACACACACACATATACAAATATATACATACACACATATATATATATACATACACACATATATACATACATACACACACATACATACACACACACACATACACACACGATGTATATATACACATGCCTGGAGAATCCCAGGGGTGGGGTCGCACAGAGTCGGACACGACTGAAGTGACCTAGCAACAGCAGCAGCATGTGTATAACTGAATCAGTTTGCTTAAAGCAGAATGGAAATGGCAAACCACTTCAGTATTCTTGCATTGAGAACCTCATAAACAGTATGAAAAGGGAAAAACATAGGACACTGAAAGATGAACTCCCCAGGTCAGTAGGTGCCTGATATACTACTGGAGATCAGTGGAGAAATAACTCCAAAAATAATGAAGGGATGTAGCCAAAGCAAAAACAACACACAGGTGTG